GTAGCCGTGGGGGGAGAGCTGCCCCCGAGTACATGCGGCTCTTCCAGCTGGGGGTCAGACCCCCGCTCACGCTGTAGACAGCCAGTGCCGCGGCCAGACACCCCTTATTTGTGCACAGTGAGCCCTGCCGAAGAGACCACTCAGGGACCCACACAAACTGGTGTCTGAACGGAGACGCTCTTCTAAGAAAGGTGGCCCAAAGTCGGACTCCCTCTGGAAGGAAGCCTTGGGGCAGCACCGGGAGACAGAGCTGCCTGCTAAGGGTGGTCTCGTCGACACCGTTCCCTGTGTCCGTGCATGGGCACGTGTGGGTGGGGGAGAGGGTTCATCAGCACGTGGGGGGAGCTGCGTTACTCCCAGGTCTCCCTTGCTGGCCCCTGCACCATTTGTCACCGGGGCCGGAGAGAGAGTGGTTTGGGGTCCTTGCCAGTAAACCCAGGTACCGCACTGGCCACGGCCACTGCCAGGCGCGAAGGCAGCCCCGAGACGTGACCCAAAATGGATTTTTGTGGACCTGAAAATGTCACCGATTTTACATTCCGTTGTCATGCTCCCAGGGCGTGGAAATGAGAACCGAGAAGGGGTGAGTGGGCGGAGGGCAGGCGAGGCCATTAAAGGTCAACGACCAAGGGAGATCCGGCCCCCCCGTGCCCCCCATGCAGGGCAATGTGCACATGCACCAGGTATTGTGGGCGCCAAGTAACAGCTCCGCTGGGCTCTCATCTGTGGCTGCCTTGGGCTGAGTACAAGGCAAAGCCCCCGAGCCCAAGGGACGCAGGCGCCGGTGGGGGCAGGGCGCTTCGCAGTCTGCACAGAGCAGCTAGCGCAGTCCGGAGCAGCGTTCTCTGCAGCCAGCGTTTCACCTGGCTCAGCGATAGCCACTGGGGCTCTGATGGGATGGAGCTGGCGTTAGACAGAGGGAGCGAGTAGCCCAGCGTAGCCCACACTGCAGGGCAGGGCTCGGTTCCCTATCTCCAGGGAGGGCAGCCAGCCCCAGGGAACCCCCTCTCGGGGGAAAGCATCTGAGGGCAGGTCTGGCTTGGGGCTGGGAGTTGGGAGAGGTTGATTTTCTGAACCTTCCCTACCAACGTCATGGTTCCTGGTGCCAGGGCACAGGCAGTGAATGCCTTTAGGGGGCAGCTATGCACCGCCCCCCGGCCCAGCTGCTCTGCGCGCGTGGGGCTGTGTTCCCCTCCCCCGGCTGCTCTGCGCGCGTGGGGCTCTGTTCCTCTCCCCACGGCTGCTCTGCGCGTGTGGGGCTCTGTTCCTCTCCCCCCGGCTGCTCTGCGCGTGTGGGGCTGTGTCCCCTCTCCCCCTCCCCCCCGGCTGCTCTGCGCGTGTGGGGCTGTGTTCAACATCTTCATTAATGATCTGGATGATGGGATGGATTGCACCCTCAGCAAATTCGCAGATGACACTAAGCTGGGGGGAGAGGTAGATATGCTGGAGAGTAGGGATAGGGTCCAGAGTGACCTAGACAAATTGGCGGATTGGGTCAAAAGAAATCTGAAGAGGATCAACAAGGACAAGTGCAGAGTCCTACACTTAGGAAGGAAGAATCCCACACACTACTACAGGCTGGGGACCGACTGGCTAAGCAGCAGTTCTGCAGAAAAGGACCTGGGGATTACAGTGGATGAGAAGATGGATATGAGTCAGCAGTGTGCCCTTGTTGCCAAGAAGGCCAATGGCATATTGGGCTGCATTAGTAGGAGCATTGCCAGCAGATCGAGGGACGTGATCATTCCCCTCTATTAGGCACTGGTGAGGCCACACCTGGAGTATTGCGTCCAGTTTTGGGGGCCCCACACTACAAGAAGGATGTGGACAAATTGGAAAGAGTCCAGCGGAGGGCAACGAAAATGATTAGGGGGCTGGAGCACATGACTTATGAGGAGAGGGTGAGGGAACTGGGATTGTTTAGTCTGCAGAAGAAAAGAATGAGGGGGATTTGGTAGCTGCTTTCAACTACCTGAAGGGGGGTTCCAAAGAGGATGGAGCTCGGCAGTTCTCAGTGGTGGCAGATGACAGAACAAGGAGCAAGGGTCTTAAGTGGCAGTGGGGGAGGTCTAGGTTGGATATTAGGAAACACTATTTCACTAGGAGGGTGGTGAAGCACTGGAATGGGTTACCTAGGGAGGTGGTGGAATCTCCTTCCTTACAGATTTTTAAGGCCTGGCTTGACAAAGCCCTGGCTGGGATGATTTAGTTGGGGTTGGTCCTGCTTTGAGCAGGGGATTGGACTAGATACCTCCTGAGGTCCCTTCCAACCCTAATCTTCTGTGATTCTATGATTCCCTCCCTCCCCGCCCTCGCCCACCCCCGGCTGCTCTGCTCGTGCGGCTGTTCATGCAGGCGTGACTAAACCCCCAGGCTCCCGCGTACTCCTGACCCTCCTCCTCTCCTTCCAGCTCCTGGCCAACTCCAAAGCACATACCTCGCGGTTCATCAGTGCCAACCTTCCATGCAACAAATTTAAGAATCGCCTGGTGAACATCATGCCGTACGAGCTGACCAGAGTCTGCCTGCAGCCCATCCGTGGGGTCGAGGGCTCCGATTACATCAACGCCAGCTTCATAGATGGCTACAGGTAAGAGTCACCGGGACGCATGGGCCCATCCCCTCGTGCCTAGGAGCAGCTGGGACTGGCCATTGCCGGCGCTGGGCTCTCCCGTCTGCCAGGCGTTGCCTCCTGGCGCTGGATGGAAATGGAGTGGGTTGGATTTGAGTCCAATCCTGTTTCTCTTCATTGCGTCGGGATCCTGGCTGGGGTCAGGTACCGCATGACAAGCAAGCGTTAGCCAGAGCTCCCCTTTTCTAGCTCCCAACGTGTGCGCTCTTCGCCCCGTGCTGACAAGCACTTCCTGGGGTAACTGTTCCCATCCTCTATAAATGCTCCGCACGGGCCCCTCTGCTGAGAGCCCCCCGCTCTGTATCTGGCCTCCCGGGAAGCCCAGTTTAAGGCTCTGCAGTAGCCGGAGAAGGGGCCGCTTGGCTGCAGGGGAGCTCTGGGAGGTCTCGGGCGGAAGCTCGGGACGGGCAGGGCTGGAGCCAGGCACCAGGGAGACCCGTGCAGCAGCCTGCTCTCGGGGACGCTCTGTACGGAGCATGAGCAGGCGGTCGGTGTCCCGCGTGACACGTTCCCGTGGTTCTGTGCAGCGTGTTCCCGGCTCCTGAGCACCGTGAGGGCAGGGCAGCAGCTGTGCCAGACGCACCGAGGAGCAGCCTCGCCCAGCCACCAGCCCCGGCACAAAGCCTCCCCCGACCCTTTCCTTTGGCATTCAGCACAAACGAATGTGCCACTCGCCCACCAGGAACTGGGCCAGCAGGTTCTGCCTGGGGTCCCCCTGCTCAACGTCGGAGCTGCAGACGCTGCAGGAGTGGGACTGCGTGAGAGCCTGCCACGTAGGATGCCAGGGCCCGGGATCCCAGCCCAGCCACTGCTCTCAGGGCGTGGGCAGGTGGGGTCAGTGTGCTCCCAGCACTGCTGGCCAGAGAACAGACTGGGGCTGTTGGGCAGAGTAGGCCAGAGGGCAGTGAATACAGTCAGCCCTGGAGTGCTGTGTGGGTGAGGACAGGCCACTTAGAGCTGCATGGAGCCAGGTGACAGCGGGCAGAGCTGCCTCCTCTCTCTCTCGTGCCTGGCACCAGTGCAAACGCCAGCTCCCAAACCAAGCCACGTATGGGGCTGATAACTGGGGGGACTGTGCCCCTCGCTGCCTTCCAGCGCCAAGCCTCGGTGTGCGGGGTCCCCGGCGGCCCGCGCTGCCTGGCGAGCGATGCTGTTCCTTGCGTGGCTGCCAGCGCAGCAGGTGATACCATGTCATGGCCGACCTATCGCCTCCCTGAAGGGCTCTGTTATCTCTCCTGCCCATTCCTCCGAACTGAGCAATCTTTCTGAGGTTGATCTGACGAGATCAATTGGCCCCAGCTCCTGTAGGCATGGCTAAAGCTGCACCTTTATTAGCTCCTGTGTTTCTTCCTGCCCCCTTACTCTTCATGGTGATGGTGTCGTATAAACCCCCCGGAAGCAGCATCCGTCTCTGTACAACAGAGTCATTCATTTTTAGCACCGATGGGGAGATTAAATGATAGAGAGATTTGATGATGGTAAGTGCCACGGGCCCCTATTCTGAGATCTCCAGCGCCCCTTAGTGGTGGAAACATGAACAGCGCCTCGTTACTGACGCCCACGACTCAGGAGTCTCCTCTGTCTCGCTGATTGCTGTGCATTTCCCCTGCGCTCACCGAGCACGGGGCACCGCGACTGCTGGGGTTATCCTGGCACGACAGCTCGCCCATGTAGTGCCACCAGAGAGCAGCGCCTGCCCCGCTGCTTCCCTTGTGGCGAAGTCTGAACGCGACGGCCGGACCTGCGTTAGGGCAGGAGCCTGTCCACGGGTCCGGAAGCACCTGCAGGGCCTGCCTGTCCCAGGTCCCAGCGCACACGCCGGGCCTGGCTGCTTTGGCCAGCGGTGCAGCCAGGGGAACAGCCTTTGTTCATTACCCACTGTACCAATGACGCGCAATCCAGGCCTCAGCAGCCGGCCTGCGTGACCCGGGTGAGCTGACTCGAGCTCCCTGGGGCGATCGAGGGGCGTCTCTGGGGTCAGTGCCCAGCTGCAGGGGTAGGGAGGCTGGATGCCGATGCCGTTGGTGGCAGAGTCAGCAGCCGAGCCCAGGCGTGGCTGTGCAGCGCCCCAGGGACGCCGGGGCTGGGGCTTTGTGCAGTGGAGGAGCAGTGTGCAAAGGGTGGTTGTCAAGGGGACAACGGGTTCTTGGTGGCTCAGGGACTCCTCCCTCCCCGACCCCCAGAGTCCAGCACACAGAGCCGCATCCAGCATGCTCACCCCTTGCCCGTGGGCACTGCCCACGGCAACACCCTCCAACCAGCCCTCTTGCACCCCGCATTGGTCACTAATCCAGCTGCCAGTCCCTCCTCCCAGCTGCCGCAGAGCCCCGTGCCCAGCTCGGTGAATGCTCAGGGCCCAGCGCTCTGCCCCATGCGGGACGGGTGCCCGAGCCCCTCGAGTGGGCGTGGGCTGCCTGGGGACCCCTCGCCGGCTGTTCTGAGGGTGGCTTGTGTGTGTTGCAGGCAGCAGAAAGCCTACATTGCCACGCAGGGGCCCCTGGCAGAGACCACGGAGGATTTCTGGCGCATGCTCTGGGAGCACAACTCCACCATCGTGGTGATGCTGACTAAGCTCCGCGAGATGGGCCGGGTAAGGGCTTTGGAGGGCTGGGCCAGGGAAGGGCTTTGGGGGGCTGGGCCGGGGAAGGGCTGGGGGGAGGCGTGGGCCGGGGAAGGGCTGGGGGTTAGGGGGCGAAGACCCGGCTTTGCTGCTTCACGCATCTCCTCTTGCCTGCAGGAAAAGTGTCACCAGTACTGGCCGGCGGAGCGCTCGGCCCGCTACCAGTACTTTGTGGTGGACCCTATGGCAGAGTACAACATGCCCCAGTACATCCTGCGTGAGTTCAAGGTCACCGACGCCAGGGTGAGTGGGGCTGGCGGTGCTCTCGGGCGTGTCCCTCCCACGGGGCCGGACAGTGACGGGCTGGGATCCCCGCAAGGCCCAGCAGGCTGTCGCTCCCGGGCCTGTTCTCGTCTCCAGGGGCAGGAGCCGGCGGCCTGGCCCCTTCCCAGCGCCCCAGCAGTGACAGAGGCAGCCAGACTCCTGGGCGGGGGCTGCATCTTCCCCTGAGTCAGCCTTGGCTGGGCATCCTGGCACTGAGCCAGTGGAGACCTGCCGTGCCCCCTTCTCCCTGGTGTGCAACTGGGCAGCACTCGGTTACACGGGTCAGGCAGGCGCAGCCGGGGGGGGGAGGGGAACGAAACCTGCCCAGACTCAGTCCCAGGTCGCCTGTCCCACGCCCAGGCCTGGTCCAGGTCTGCAGAGCCCGGCCCCTGCGAGGCACAGCCTGGCCCAGCCCTGGGGCTGTACGGCGCCCGTCCCCGG